AGTCATTTTCTTTTCTGTAGGCTTTTTTCCTGGCGATTCAGCCAGTACCACCTATCTTAGGGCAGCTATGCTCTGTCCCTCCTTTGTACCGTGGTTCCCCGAAAATAAGACAGTCTTATATTTGTTTTGCCCCCCAAAAAACACACTAGGTCTTATTTTCAGGGGATGTCTTTTTTTTTTTTACGGTGCAACAAAATGTACAACAATGTAAAGTTATTCATGTACAACAATCCAAAACATATCTGGTATCACTCCGCCTGTCACAGTAAGCGGCGCTAAAGAGGAAGTATCTGCTAATGCGGCTCTGCTCCCTCCGCCGCCGCAGCCTTGCTTTCTACAGTACTGGCATGCTTTGCCATCAGGTACAGCGGTACCAGCGGTGCAGCAGTGAGGACATCAGACAGTGGACAGCGCAGTAAAGTATGGTACCAGTCTATGGATTTTCTGGGGTACTGCAGTTTTTTGCCGTTTCACAGACGCACGCAATTTGTAACCTGGGCATATTGGGTATCGTTTTACTCGTTGTAACCTCATCGTTTATATTTCATTAAAACAATGTGTATTTTGTTGTGTTTTGGGGCTTTTAATTACATTTTTCACTAAATGTTGGGGTTTAATAAGGAGTTGCACTAATATTGCGCAACATAAAAATTTGCAACTACCACCATTTTATTCTATAGGGTCTCGGCATTCAGAAAATATATAATCTTTGGGGGTTTTAAGTCATTTTCAGGCCTAAAATGTGGAATATAACATGGGTGCAAAAAATGAAAAAAAAAGGCCTCAGTCATGAAGGGGTTAATACAGTATGTCCCTGCAGGCTGATGCCATCTCTCCTGCTCTTCAAGTTCCCCCTCACATGCTACCACCAAACTAGGTCTTATTTTCGGGGTAGGTCTTATATTACAGGAATCTTGAAAAATAGTGCTAGGTCTTACTTTCGGGGTAGGTCTTATATTACAGGAATCTTGAAAAATAGTGCTAGGTCTTACTTTCGGGGTAGGTCTTATTTTCGGGGAAACAGGGTATCTATGGAGGAAAAATGTAGCCACCCTTGAACAGCAGCAACTTGGAGGGTAGTGTTTAGGGCCGCTGTCAAAGTACATGAACAGAACTAGCAGCTGGCTAGCCGAGAATTTTCTAACCAGACTGAAAACACAAAGTGGACCCCTATCATGCGTCCCCGCTACACACATTCGGTGCACGGATGACTCTCCTGGAGTAATAGGCTCAAAACTGGTGAAACCAGCACATGATAATCTTCCAAAGAAATTCAAACTTTATTCCACATGCATCTGTACAGAGCACAACCCCTAGCGTGTTTCTGCCTTAGTCATAGCTACGACTAAGGCCGAGGAAGGCAGAAACACATCAGCGGTTGTGCTTTGTACAGATGCAGGTGGAATAAAGTTTGAATTTCTTTGGAAGATTGTTGTGTGCTGGTTCCACAATTTTCTAACCGGCTCCTTTGATCAGCTGATCGAGGGTTGCCAGGCAGAAGGGTGCCGACAGTGGCACACACGCAGCGAACCGGCCACAGTTTGAGGTGTTTATACCCGCTTTAGAGGTACTAGTAGTTAGATGGACTTTACAGATGACTAACAAATTAAAGCCAAACTGCAGCCAATACTTTTTAGGCAGTTACAGAAACGTGACTTTTTTTCTTTTGGGGAAAAAGGTTTTAACTATATGGAGCAAAACAAATCATTGTAAGCACCCGTGTGCGTGTTAAATGGTTTGTCTCAACCCTCTAACTTCCACTATTGCTGGATGGGTTGGTTTGTTAAAGGGAGGAACAGACTAAAGCTAGCCATACATTGTGGGCTTGTTCACACTGCAATCCCCCCTCCCCCCCCCCTTTTGAATGAGTTTCCACATGCATGTTTACATTTATTAGTAACGCATTGCATTTTCTTGGCAATTCATTTTTTTTTACATTCACTATAAAATCCACAGGATAATTCTAAAAGCTTTTTTTTTCGCCACTCACAATTATGTGCATTCCACTGAACTTTATTTTAAAAAACTGGAACTCAACGCAATGGTGTAAACGAGGGTGATTAGACACCATTGATTTTACTATACATGCTTTCAGAGAGTATTCAAAAAAACACACACACCCGAACACATCTGGTGTGAACAAGTCCTGTTATGATTTCTCTAATTCAGCCGTGAAGGCTAAAGGAGAGAAATTAGATTTTCCTACCCATGCTAAACATTATAAGTAGATGAATCCCCATTGCCAGGTATTGGTTTTAGCAGTTTCTGCTTCTTCGGCTGCAGCCTAATACCCGAACAGTGCCTGGACCCGATTGGCTCTAGTCACTGTCCAGCCAACAATTCTCCACCTGGCTGCTTCAACAATAGCAAATTGCCAACAGGGCAGGAATTGTCGAAACTCGAATCATGCATCACCAGCTTTATGGTCAGGATCATCAGGTATTAAAACTATGTTACGGAGGGGACTCGGAAAAGCAAAGACTACTGTGTTAATGCATGACAGACTGCATCATGTATATCATTTTTTATCTTGCCCATAGTTCCACCTTAAAGTTTTTGGTTTCACTCACATGACCTGCTGCTCAGTTGTTTGCTGGTGAACCTAATAAAATGGCCCCTCAGCGTATCACACAGGATGCCAGTATTTTATATAGCCAACAATTGCAAGAGATTTTCAGTCGCCTGCGTGGAACAGTTGTTAAAAGGTCAAAGTGGAAGGATGCTTTAGTCCTGAAAGCTGTATTAGTGCATTGCCTGGGGCAAAGTAGTAAATGATAGAATCAGGCTGTTCCCTCCATTCCACGCTGGTGGGTAGAGGTAACATTTTCCTGTGTTTAACCTGGCTAGGCATTTTAGATATAGACAAGTGTACACTACATAAAGCCTCAGTACTATGTATTGACTGAGCCTTATTATTAATGCCGAAGACAAAGGCATGCATAGTAATCTTTTCTTCATCCATATGCCTATTACTGTTTCTAATTATTAAATGCTTTATTTTCTCTGGAAGCAATTAGGTATTCACTCAACTCTATTTATTACAAAGACCCCCAGTGCTTCAACGCAGCTTTCCCAACCCCCCCACCCACTTGCCCTCTGGTGCGCAGAGAGCAGCTCAGGCGTTGCTGCTATGCTTATGCAGTTTAATTTACATGCAAGACATCATCTGCATGCTAAGTCTCATGAATTCATTTTGTGCCGTCCTACTTGCTACATCCCTATGGCTTCTGGTATATTTGCCTCCTAAACTGCCCTGACGCTAACCTTGTGCCAGTATAGGCCATGTCTTCCCAGCTTCCAAACACCATTCTCGCTTACGTTTCCAATAAGGAAGTCTGCCCAGCATAGAATTGCATGGCAAGAGGCTGCAGACCTGTGAATAAGCACTTGGAAAAGCTTGGCAAGTCTGACTGCAATGGATTGAACTATTTAAGGACCTTTTCAGGATAGATATATGGGAGCCATCATCACAATTTGGGTTGTACAGGTGCAGACTATGAAGCTTTCAAACCAATCCTTGCTTCACTTTATAGCGAAAAAATCAGATCACAAAGTAGCTTGAACCTTTCCAATTAATCCAGAAACTCCCATACTGCTATTCCAACAGCATCTCTTAAAAGCTAAACGGAGCAAAGCTTGCTTGTAGAACATTTCTTGGTTTCTGCTTGGAGCGGTCATTTGATCACCAGTGGGATGCTCAGGGATGTGGGGGCAATGGAATGGTTTCACAACTACATACCTCCACAAGAGACAATAAAACCGCTAGGCCAACCCCGAGGCTGTGTACAGCACATCGCCACTGCCCAAACATGGGCAGTGACACAATACAACCTCTTGTGTTTAGGTACCCAGCTGTCAAAACAGAATCCTCAGGGAAGCCAAACTTAGCTTGCACAACGGACAGAACTAGGTGTGTCCTGGAGCTAATTGACAAGCCGCAAGGCTATGAGAATTGTCAGTGCTGAAGTTACAAGCCTGTAAAAGTTTTTTCATTTCTCTCTAGCGCACATAAACACAGCATGCATGAGAATGGTGACTCTGCTCTCAACTCAGAAGCAGTGCAGCTTTGTTGCCACTCCATTGTAGGAAGTTGCATTGCTGGGAGGCTCAATATGTATTTGTGGACTTAGTGTGGATGCACTTATAAGGTCTATAACGCACATTTTTAATGGGAGGCCATAGTTCTGCCTCAAGCAATTGAAAGTAACAGTCATGGTGCTTGTGGGTTTGGGAATTGACTAGTTTCTGACTACTCAGAAAAATGCTACAACGTCTTAATTCTACTGTTATGTTCCACCCGTAAAGGACAGAAACGTATTTGCACAATCCTAGTTGCTTACTCGCTCATCTGGTAATCAAATCTGCTATGATTCATTTATTGATGATTTTACTATGCTATGAAGTCCTGGCCCATAATGTTTTCATGCCCCTCTGTCACCACACTGCGTTCCTTTCATTAGGTTTGTCAAAATGTTGTTAATTTTACCGTTTGTTAGTCTGTGTCATATGAACCTTCTAGTTGATGTACGTACAATGTAACTTCTTTTATTATCACTTCAATTAAACTCTGTATCCCTAAGGGCTTGTTCACACCCAGCGCGTTCCAGGAGCAGAGGAGTTACAGACCGGATCAAAACTGCGTCCAATGTATTCCAGTGGTATTTTGGGCTCTAGTTCACACCGCAACGTTCAGTTCCAGAGCATGTAAAAAAACTGCATCAAGCCCCCATTTTACCTGCTCGGGAACGCATGCACACACCCTGGAACGCACTGAAAGCCCATTTCAAACAAACAAAAAAAAAAGATCAAAAAACGCAGTATAACAAACTGCACTGGGTGTGCAGAAACTTATGCAGATCTGGTCTGCACTTGGTGTGAACAAGCCCTAAGTGATACGGGTCGTTTGTATGGCTCTATTTCTTGCTACAACTCAAAAAATGTATATGCTAAAAAAAGAAAAGTATTCAAGTATCTAAATAGAAAAAAAACACAAGTCCAGATCAATATTAAAAGTTCTTTATTTGTTATTCCTGAAAGATCAATGTTGGTAATAAAAGTTATCCAGGCAACGTTTGTTGGGTGTTTGCACTGTCCTACAGAAGAGGGGATGGACATTTCAGTTAGCTTGGTCTTGTAAAGCTTCAGCCATGAACAGCTTTCCCAGGTTCTGAGAAGTGAACTCCTTTATGTTCTCGATGTACGTGTTAATTTGACCTGTAAGAAGAACAAACATTCACAGCTTAGTGGTTTATACACCATTTGAACATCGACAATTTCAAGAGTTCTCAAGTATATCCATGTATCAAGCATCAGTCACAAAGCTAAGGATGTTTTGGAATCACTTAACGGACAACTCCACCAAAAGTTGTCTAAGGAAGAAGGAGGAGTTGAATCACATGACAGAATTGTACGTCTCTCAGACACTTCGTACTCGGATATCCCACTAAAAAAATGTATCCATCCAGTGGCAGCAGCCATTACGAAGATAAATAATGGGATTAAACTCCCCTGGTTAATTCTTCAATGTAGAATATCCCGCTAGGGAGTTCAGCTGAGAAATGGGCATTAGGGACATCCAGGATTGAAACTGCTGAAATCTCATCAGTGGAGTATCTGGAGAAGGTGATTCAAGTCACTGGCACTCATCCAAGGCAATTAAAAAAGATACTGTATGGTGTTCTCTTGTTCTAGGTCACAATATGGCTTCGACACACCTTCGATAGAAAGTAAGGCAACACCTACAATGGTGTATAGATTACAGTATATATGATCTCCCACAGACCAGCCGGAGTCCTTTGCTTTGTATGTCTATTTTGCTCACCAGAATTGGGGAAAATAGGGGGCATTTGGAAGAACAATGGCAACGCAAACACTGACAGAAGCATCACATTTTAGCCCAGTGTAATGAACCCTTGCTTGGACATGTGTACTGTGTCTGTTGATCTCAATACACTTCTTCAGACCTAGACATCACTGAGCTCATCACTGGTTATTGGTAAGGCACTCCGAGGGCCTCCATTTTTGTGTATAGGGGCCATAAAGGCACCTATACACCTGTTGATCAGGATGCCCTAAACTTCTTCCTAAAAAATGCATGTTTTGGTTACCTAGCACACCACTAGACCTCTGAATCTTGGAGACTAAAGATTCCAGATTTACGGACTTTCCTAAATATCCAAGATCACCACAACTGCGGATCAAGTCGTATATAGCGGATGCTATATTCAGTCCACACTGCCTAAACTGGCCTTTGCTAACCGATCTTCAGCCGGGGTATGGCCATGCATAATGCCTTAACAGGAAGCTAAATAAAGGATACTCTACAATACTGATTCCATACAATATAGTGTAATAGAAACATTAAAAACAGTTGTAGTCCTTCAATAATCCAGATCCTTTTGCTCAGAAGGGTTAAAACAGCAGTTACATAGTTTCTAGTTCCAGGTAGTGACAGATTTACAGCATTTAGCAATTTACTAAGAGAAAAAAAAATAAAGTTTCCATGTTGGTCCAGTGCACAATTTCTGGTCCACAAGTGGTGTGAAGGGGGTAACGGTTGTTGATTTTGAACCTGTGACATCACTGTCTCTTCAGATCATATGAAGTCAGGACAATGAGGTCAGTATTCTGGTAAATGGCTGCAGTTGGTAGCAATTATCAGCAAGCTTGTGTATACATTTGGAATGATGTCAAGGAGATTTCTCCTTGAATAGAACCCCTTGTTATTTTGCTCTTGCTCTACAATCAGTGTTTAATAGTACAGCATATAAGGTTCCACATTCTACCTTGCAAAGACTATTTTACCCAATGTTAAAGCCAAACTCCAGGCAAGCAGATAAATACATATCTGATATACAGTACAAACGTTTTAGGCAGGAGTGAAAAAAAAAATGCTGTAAAGTATATATTTTTATTGTTTATTTGTTATCAATGAACAAAATGCAAAATGAGTGAAGAAAAAAAACTAGGGTGCAGAAAAATGGCAGCAGGTGCTCTGGACTGATGAGTCACAATTTGGCTGCAGCAGGAGGCAGTTTGTTCACCAAAGGGCTGGAGAGTGGCACAATAACGAGCGTCTACAGCAGGGGTAGCAAACCTCTGGCCCTCCAGCTGTGGTGGAACTACAAATCCCAAGAGGCATTGCAAGATTCTCACAGACATGACTCCCGAAGAGAGATGCATCATGGGATTTGTAGTTTCACCACAGCTGGAGGGCCGGAGATTTGCTACCCCCTGGTCTACAGCAACAGTGAAGCATGGTGGAGGCTCCTTTCAAGCCTAGGGCTGCATTTCTGCAAATGGGAGTTTTGGTCAGGATCAATGGTGTCCTAAACTTATTCTGCAGCAGGACAACAACCCCAAACATACAGTCAATGTCATTAAGAACCATCTTCAGTATAAAGAACAAGGAGTCCTGGAAGTGATGGTTTGGCCCACACAAAATGATCTCAACATCATGGAGTCTGTCTGGGATTACATGGAGTCAGAAGGATTTGAGCCAGCTGACATCCACAGAAGATCTGTGCTTAGTTCTCTGAGATGTTTGGAACATTCTAGCTGCCCAGTTCCTTCAAAAACTGTGTGCAAGTGTAACTAGAAGAATGGATGCTCTTTGGAAGGCAAAGGGCGATCACAACAAATATTGATTTGATTTGGATTTGTCTTCTGTTCATTTCATTTCTATTTTGTTAATTGATAAAAATAAACCAACACTGTATGCATCACTTATACTGATTTCATACTTGTTATGCACTATATAAAATCTTAATAAAGATCTATTGTTAAAAAAATAAACCAAAACTTTTATTTCTGAAAGCATTCTTGCGTTACAGCATTTTTTCACACCTGCCTAAAAGACAGACAGAGGCTACACAGCATCACAAATCCTTTGGCAGCCAGTTTTGTCAGCACCACCAGATCCTCCAACTCCATTGCAGCCCAGCTTGACCAAAAACAGCCCCTTCATGACCGGACAAGAAAGGCTGACCTGTTAGCATGTCAATTTACCCTACCACCCCCAATCTAAAGTACTGCTCTTCAAGAACCTATAGCAGGCTGATATCAAAATTTACCCAGATACTTACATTAGGTTGCATCTAAAAATACATTATTTTTTCAAATTTCTAGCTCATTCTTAAAGCACGACCTATTAAGACACTGAGGCTCCACATTGGATTAAGGGATTCTCAGGAAGTTGCGAGAGCTCTAACATGGAGCACATTTTTATCTCAGCGCTTGTGCTGGGGTATTTTTTGGGGGGGAAGATCTTCTTGTGTCCGCTCTTGGCCAGCGATACAAGTTTTTCATACTTTTATATTCATATCAGTTGGAATGCACAGATACTTCGGTATTGAGTACCGATATTTTTTCGGTACTCGCTGATACCGAATACAGAGTACCAGAAGTCCCATTCAGGAAGCCAGGTGGCGAGTAAAGACTCGCCACCTGGCTTCCCGAATAGCCGATAAGCTGGGCAGTGTGTAAAGACTCGCCACCTGGCTTCCCGATTAGCAGGGAAGCCGCCCCCGTGCTTGTCGTCACTGGGTGACAAGAAAGCATGGAGCCGGCTTGCTGGCCAATTAGGAAGCCGGGCGCCATGTAATGATGCGGCGCCCGGGTTCCTGATTGGCCAGGAAGTCAGCTCCATGCTCCCTGGAGTTTTTGCATATATCTACTGCTCACTAGGTTTAATTCCACTTTAATAGTTTTTTTTTAAACTACAACATACTGAGAGCCAAACACAAAGTTCTGTTTTGAAGCAAGCAGTCACTGACACAGGAAACCTGTGCACAAGGAAGAGCAGAGGGGTGTTTGCTTCAATGCACTGCTACTCCATTGTCCAATCACAGCTTGGGAATGGGGAGATGACCAACCAGAATTTCAGCATCCGTGTTTCCCATTATTCCCAGGGCTGGTCCTAGACATTTTGCACCCTAGGCAAGACCAGCTACTTGCACCCTCCCAGCCCGCCCTCCGTGCACGCGGCCCCATTCCCCTGCCGGCTAGCTTCCACGGGCGATAGATGGATGTAAGCAGCCAGGACAATAGTGAGACTGTTATTGGCTATTTTAATTTGAAACAGCCAATAGCAGACTGGCTATTGAAACACCAGCAACTGAGCAGAGGAGCGGACCTGAGAGAGAAAGTTGTCTCTCAGTTCCCTCCTCTGCTCAGTGGGCGGGTGCAATAGCCAGCCTACTATTGGCTTTCGCAATGTGAAATAGAGGGGGGCACCGTGAGTGAGTGGTCGAGTCTGCGTCTAGGCAGCTGCCTAGTTTGCCTAGTGGCAGCACCAGCCCTGATTATTGCCATGATTTCTACGTAAAATTCTGCTTCATGTAAGCTTTTATTTTTCCATTCACAAACAGATTTTCTTTAAAAAGAAAGCCACAAATCTGCAGCCCATGGCAAAGCATCCTTCAGGAATATAAATGTATTTAATCCAAATCAGGTAAGCAAGAAGAAAAAAAATAGATCTCATAATTTGCTGCTCATGTCTAGGGTGTCAGAGGGGCTACACAGGCGTGTATGAACCTTAACAGTGTCTGGAATGTAAATACACAATGTAATTACTGCACAATAATTGATTTCACTCACACTGTATCCCAGGGTCTCCCCGGTACATGAAATACTCACAGAATATAATTGTGCTCTACCTCGCAAATGCATTGCTAAGAGGAAAGGGGGGAAAAAAAGGCCTCTAGCTAAAATCTGCACCGTATTTATTGTTGCTGAATGTAAATTGTCTTTATTAAAAAATATTCTCGGAGTGAGCTATCCAAATCACAGCTCAGCAGCCATCCAAGTAGAAAATGAATCCTGAGTCTTGCAGGGTATCATGGGTAAGCCATTGCATTTTGCACTTCTACAATGCTCTCTTTTTTCTTATTCAGCTGGAGGGAATATATAAGCCTAATAAAAATGTGTGCTATCCTGCTGGACTCCATCCACACGGTGAAAATCACCGAGCTATAATCAGCATTCACCAGAACGGTGAACGGAAAAAAAAAAATCATTAAGTCTGAGTGGGGTTAATGCATGAAAAATCATTTGGTTTGTACATTGAAGGGGCATTGATTCAGAGCAATCGTACAAAGTTTCCTTAACCATTAAATGCAATTAGGCTGTAATTATAGGAGGGTAGACCCTAAACATGAAGATA